AAACTATTTTTCAAAGCACCTTAGGGCAGGACAAGTAGCAATTGATGGAAACTAATCAAGGAGAGAAGCAACTTAGAACTAAGGAGGAATTTTCTGACAGAACAATCAATTAATCAGTGGAACAACTTGCCTCTAGAAGTTGTGAATGCCCCAACATTGGAAGTCTTTAAGAAGATGTTGGATAACCATTTGTCTGAAGTGGCGTAGGGTTTCCTGCCTAGGCATGGGGTTGGACTAGAAGACCTCCAAGGTCCCTTCCAACTCTGCTATTGTATCGTATTGTAAACACCCAAGTTGCTTCCAATCCTTGTTTTGGTATTTTCACATTACTGCAAGCTGAGAAGCCACTATCTTTGGAAGTTGAGAATTTTTATTTGGTTCAACTTTTCATTTTCCTATCCTGCTCCGATAAGTTGGCTATGCCCCAACTGAATGGAAAAGGATTGAATGGAAAAGTATTAAATTGTTTCTTTCCCCTCTCCTCAGAATCATATCTTGTGCCTTGGGCATGAAGCGTTATGTGGAAGCTAACATCTCCCTCAAGTCCCACACAACGATTAAATACTTCATGAAGATGTGGAGCAGTGTGAGTGACACCCTCATCTTCATCTTTCTTGGTGTCTCCACTGTTGGGGACAATCACGAGTGGAATTGGCCCTACATTTTCTTCACCCTCATTTTCTGTCTCCTTTGGAGAGCACTGGGTAAGGAGGAGGGAAAACGATCTGCTTCAAGGATGGGCAAATTATCCTCTGGTGGGTGGTTGGGGGAGAGCCATATTTGCTTTGAAGTGGCAGGCCAAGAGGATGTGGAGAGGCAAGGCGTGGTGCCAGGAGGAAGAACTGAATTTGGTCTGCGATTAAATTGAATTAACATCAAGTTTCAATTCAATGAAATACGGTACTCCTCGTGGATTTAATTTCCCCCCCTCTGTGGTGTTTGAAGTTACAAATTGGCAGGAACATTGAGTAGAGCTCCAAGTACAGCTTTTGGGGAGCGGAGGGGGGGCAGGGGGGTGTCCAATGCTGGCAAGGAAGGACTATGGAGCAATTGAGAGATTATAGTTTTAGCAAGAGAGGGATAGACCTGGGAAAAATGGGGAAGAAGTTAAAATACATACATACATACATGCATGCATACATATTGGCAAATACATGCATACATGGTCCTTTATTTTTCCTTGGTTTCCCTTCTTTTGGATTCTTCTTCTTCTTCTTCTTCTTCTTCTTCTTCTTCTTCTTCTTCTTCTTCTTCTTCTTCTTCTTCTTCTTCTTCTTCTTC